ACAGTCAATAGTATTGTGATAACTATGTATGGTACCAGGTGGGTAATGGAAATATTGGGGGGAACACTTTGTAAAGTATACGATGATCTAAACACTATGCTATACACCTAACACTAATACAAAATAATATTAAAGGTAAAGTGTAATTGAAAAAAATATATTTAAAAAATTTTTTAAATTCCTAAACCCAGACCCCACCTAAGACTAATTACATCACAATTGCTGGGGGTAGGACACAGGTACCAGTGTATTTAGAAGGCCTCAGGTGATTCCATTGTGCTGACAAGTACAGAAACTGCTGTCTCAGCAGCTGAAAGGTTTGGGAGCAGTAGGAACTGTGAGGAAGGACTACGGAAACCAGTGGCTCTTGGTAATCACTACTGATTCTTTGCAGAGAGAAAATCACAGGCTCAGCTCTATTAATCAACAACTTTAAGCAGCAAGAGTCTGAGCACCTCCCTGACAGCATTTAAAGAGACTCTCATTTCCTGCCGCCAGAGGGGAGGCACAGCTGAAGGTCAGGCTGAGGATTTAATGAGAACTTGGAATCGCCTGAACCGTCTGGGCCTGCAGAAGTGACCAACTCTCCCTTGTTGGAAAATAGAGCCCTTCTGCTGCTTAAAGGCTGTAAAGAGTTCTCAAACGAAGCTGTGCTTTGCAAATAGGGTTGCCAGGTAAAGTGCAAGATGCCCAGGTAAATCTGAATTTCAGGTAAACAATGAATAATTTTTTAGTATACTAATTTTCTATATTTTTTGTTTGCTAAATCTAGCAACTCTCTTTTTTAAGACAATCCTTGCCCTCTTCAGGGTCTGTCCTTACCTCTCCTTGGCCACCAGATGTATAGTTAAGATCAAGTCTGAGCAAAACCTGACCTGTGAAGTACCAGGCTTGCTAGGGGAAGAGAGAGAAAATGAACCAAAAGAGCTGCAGGACTTGGCTAGCATGTACTGGCAGGAACTGGGAAAGCATGCCTGGGAACGACTCCGGGGCTGCTGGATCAAGGGAAGCAGAAACAATCTAAATAAGGAATTTAATAACACCTGTCTGTAAAAGGGTCCTGGGTGACCGTTCTAACACACCCCTGAGATGGTGCTTGAAGACTGGAAAAAAAAGTGGTCCATAGTAAAGGCCATAGGGGTGCCGGAGCTGCTATGGCAAACTAAGGAAAGGCTCAACAGGCTTAGAGAAGTTGGAATGCTGGAAGGAGCCTCCTGTATAAACCTGGAAAACCTGCCACTGTCTGTTTCTCAAGAGGGCCTGAAAGATACTTCATTAGCCACATGGGTAAGAAATAAGCTGGTGAGAGGGGGACCTTCATGCATTGTTGAAAGTCCAGGAAAATTTGTTCTCTGTAGGCTGGACTGACAGCAGAAACTGTCACAGAAGTGGGCTTTATAGTATCAATGGGAATGACAAGGTTCTGGAATGACCAGAGGCCAGGGGCAGCACTTAAACATCAGAGATAATGGGTATAATTACTGTATGGGCAGCAAGTCTGAAACAGCAGCGGGGGAGGGGAGGCAGCAAACCTGCAGAGATCTTTAGAGGTGGCTCACAGAACATGGTATTCCTAGGGGCAAGGAGATGGGCCAACATCAGTGGTCCTGCTTAATACACATAATCAAGAGGGATAGAGAACACATGAACAGAGGTCACACACACCCTATGCCCCCCAGAGGTAATCTTTATCCTGCCTTTCTGATAAACTTTTTTTTTATTGTTTTACAGTCTATCTATGCACTCCATACAATATAGTTTTATTTGCCTCACATTCTGAATTTTATATAGATTCACACGATATAGTTTTCATGTTTATGACTAATTTCTCTCATTCAATATTATGTTGGTGAGATTTTTACACATTGTGTGTGCCCACAGTATCTTAATTTTTAAATATTTTTATTGAGGCATAATTGGCACGTGGCATTATGTTAGTTTCAGGTGTACAACGTAATGATTTCATATTTGTATACATTGTGAAATGATTACAACAATAAGTCTCCTTAACACCCATCACTACACAGTTGCACAATTATTTTCTTGTGATGAGAACTTTGAAGATCTACTCTCAATTTTCAAATATGCAGTGCATTATTATTAACTATAGTCACCATGCTGTATATTACATCCTCATGACTTATTTATTTATATACTAGAAGTTTGTATCTCCATCCACTTGCTCCCCGAGTCCTAACCCACACCCCCCGTCCCAACTTCTAGCAGCCTCAGTCTATTCTCTGTACCTATGATCTTGGTTTGTTTGTTTGTTTGTTTGTTTGTTTGTTTGTTTTAGACCCAACACATAAGTGAGATCTTTGGTATTTGTCTTTCTCTGTCTGACTTATTTCATTTAGCATTATGCCTTCAAAGTCCATCCATGTTGTTGCAAATAATAAGATTTCATTCTTTTTATAGTTGAATAATTTTTCATTGTGTATATATATATATCACATTTTTTTATCCATTCATTCAGCGATGGACACTTAAATTGTTTCTAATCTCAGCAATTGTAAATATTGCTGCAGTAAACATGAAGCTGCATATGTTTTTAAATTAGAGTTTAACTTTTCTTTGGGTAAATACTCAAAAGTGGAATTGCTGGATCATATAATAGTTCTATTTTTTATTTTTTGAGGAAACTTTATACAATTTTCTATAGTGGCTGTACCAATTTGAATTCCCACCAGCAGTGCACAAGGGTTTTCTTTTCTCTACAGCCTCACTGACGCTTGTTACTTCTTGTCTTTTTGATAGCAGCCTTTCTGACTGATGGGAGGTTTTGATTTGCATTTCCCTAATGATTAATGATGTCGAACATCTTTATATGTACTTGTTGGCTGTCTATATGCCACTTTTGGAAAAATTTATTTAGATCTTCTGCCCATTTTTAATCAGTTTTTTTTGTTGTTGTTGTTGTTTGCTATTTGAGTTGTAGGAGTTCTTTAAATATTTTGGATATCAGCACCTTATCAGATATATGGTTTGCAAATACTTTCTTCCATTCTGTAGGTAGCCTTTTCATTTTATTAATGGTTTCCTTTGCTTTGCAGTTTTTTTATTTGATGTTGTCCATTTATTTATTTACTTTTGTTGCCTTTGCGTTTGGTGTCAAATCCAAAAAATTATTGCCAAGACCTACGTCAAGAAACTCACCATCCCGGCTGGTTTGGCTCAGTGGTTGGAGCATCGGCCTGGGGACCACAGAGTCCTGGGTTCGGTTCCCGCCAGGGGCACGTACCAAAAAAAAAAAAAGAAACTCACAACCTGTGATTTCTTCCAGTTTTATGGTTTTAGATCTTATATTCAAGTTTTTAATTCATACTGTTATCGGCAGTGGAGTATCCCTTTCCCCACTGAGTACTGGGAGTGGTGTCCTTATGATATCTCAAGAAAAAAAATTTTCTGACACTCACACAGGAGGATGGGTGATTTTTATTTGTGTGGAATTATATCCCTGGGTTCCCAAAGTCCCATTTCCCTTAATCCAGTCCTGGAAGAAGTGTAGTTGGGGCTTCATTAGAGCTAGAAGCCAAGCCAGTGTCGAGTTTTTGTTTCACATTAGAATTGGGTCCAGTTTAGCATTAGGCTAGTTGCAGTCCGTTAGTCTGTTGTATGGGGTCCACATGGCTGTGGGCCATGTGGGCAAATGCGGGGAAGCCAAGAGAGCATCCCCCGGCAAAAAGAGTCCCAAGGGAGCCACAAGCCCAAGCGGGTGAACTCCTGTGTTTAGGGAATTAAGTATTCCAAATCTTCCCACACTTGCAGTGGCCATGCCCGCTCTGGCCAATGACCTGTTCTCAGGTGTTTCTGACAGGCAAGTAAGGAGCTTTCCTATGTCATCTCAACTTTACTGGGCCTTTGTCTACCCCCTCACCCTTTAGTCCCTTCCCCCAGTGATGTGTGGGGAATGGACCGGTGGCTCCCTGGGGAGGGTAAAGCTGCAGCTTCCTGGCAAAGCTGCCCAGATGACATGCCTATAATATTTGGCCTTCTCTTTGCTCCTTTCCTGTTATTAATAACTAGGCTAATTACAACAGTATCAATACTATTTATATACCCAGGAAGCTGTTGCCAAAACCAAGATTTAGAACATTTCCTTCACCCCAAAAGAGTCCTCATGCCCTCTGCAATCCATCCCTCTCTCCATCCTTGGCCCTCAGGATCTGCTTTTTGTCATTATAGATTAATTTAGAGATAAGAGATTGATTTTCAAGAAGTTTACATAAATGAAATCATATAGTATGTATACTCTTTGACTGTCTTCTTTCACTCAGCAGATTTTGAGAGTCTACTTATTCTTGACAAGCAAATGAATTTTTCCCTAGTTAGGGCTGTTATGAAGAATACTGTTGTTAGCATTTGTTTAAAAAGAAATAACAAGGCAATAAATGGGAGGTATAAAAACTGAGCCCTGGCCGGTTTGGCTCAGCAGTTAGAGCATCGGCCTGCGGTCCAGAGAGACCCGGGTTCGGTTCCCGCTAAGGGCATGTACCTCGGTTGCAGTTTGTCCCCGGCCCTGGTTGGTCGTGCGGGTGGCAGCCACTCGATGTGTCCCTTTCACGTCGATGTTTCTCTCTCTCTCTCTCCCTCCCACTCTATCTGTGCAAAAAATGGGAAAAGTGTCCTCGGGTGAGGATAAAAAAAAAAAAAAAAAAAAAAAACTGAGTCATTTGCCCCCATGATAGCAAACCAAAACTTAACTGCAACTTCTCCCAGAAATATGAACTTTAAAGAGTTAATCTGAAATTTCCCGATTAGCACTAGTAAGGTAATTTGCATAATAGGACCCCTGCCATTCTCTTTACAGGACACCCCCCCCCCCCTTAAAAAGATGACCTGGTGGCCTGAACAATCTTTTGTTTTGCAAAACCTTCCACTTTGCACAACTCCTGGAAGTGCCTTTCTAGTTGCTAGATGGATGCTGCCTGATTCATAAGTCACCTAATAAAGCCAATTCGATCTGCAAATTAACTTGATTGAATTTTGTTTCATAACAGATTTGGAGGTGGTGATGAGATCAAAGGAGACGTCCAGTGGCTTCAGGGAGAAGAAACATAGGCCTGGTCCCCAGGAACCCTTTTGAGTTCACTGCCTTTCTCACCATTACTGGGTTGTCTGTAAGTTCCTCTCCATTTTAAGCTCCACTGTTTTTGCATTGAAGCTCCCAATCTAATTGGCTTTCCTTTACAGAGCAGGTCAGCTTGAGCTGGTAGGCAGTTCTCCACAGAACCAAGGCCCTAGATTTTCAGACTATAATTCCCAGGACACAGTAACATCTCTTGGTTGCTAGTGATATAGTGGAAAACCCTGGCCCTTGATTCTGTTCCCAGATTCCATGTTGGGAACTATTGGTGTGGTGGCAGCTGCAGTTCTCTATTTGTTTAGAATCAGTCCACAGTCCCATTCCTGGGGTTTGCTGGTTCAATTCTTCCCCGAGTTCATGGTTCCATGGGAATTGTTGGTGGTGTCCACAGGGCCTTTTCTTGGACAGGATGAAGTAACATCTCTTGGTTACTGCTGATATATTTAGGTGCACAGATTTGTTTGTCTTATTTTGTGCAAATAGATAAAGATTAAGGGAAATAGGATGCTTTATATCCAAAATTTTGAGGGTGCCACCTTCTGGCATACCTGTTTAACAAGAGTCCCAGAAACTGCAGATATTTAGCAAAATCGCGAAGTATTAACACTGGTCATTATAGGGAATGTTCCAATTAGACAAAATTGTTCACTTAAGAAATGCACTTGAGAACAAAGGATGCCAGTTGAACTAAAAGAAATGGGATGCCTCCTTTAACTGGTATACAGAAGCTTCTAAAAGCTTTCTGTTTGCCCTTAACTTCCAAATTACTGCCCTAAGCCTCTCATTCCAAGAAACCAAAACCCATCACTCTTATTGTTTAATCTTTCCCTAAACCTCTCATTCCAGAAAACTAAAATCCATCACTCCAGTCAGGAGGAACAGAATGATGGAACCATCCTAACCCACCCAAAACTGCAAATGGTCGCTCCACAAGAAAAACAAGTTTCAGGAGACCCTAGCCCCCGACCAACCAAGAACTTGGGAGACTCCAGACCCGACCAATCAAAGACAACCACGTCTCCTCGGCTGAACGACCATCGCCACCCCCCCACCCACCCCCAGCCCTGAGTTTAAAAATCCCTAGTCTGTACAAGCCGGTCACTACTCTCTCCTTAGAGGTAGTCCGGCAGGCTAATTCCCAATAAACCTGCACTTCTGGAGACCCTGCACCGCCTCGTTCCGCCTCGTTCTTACACTTTCAGACTCCAAAATACTTTCATTGGAAGATGTATTACAAAAGGCGAATTATAAAAAATTAAAGATAAAAAGTATATCTAACACAACACCTTAGGAGTCTTCATTACACCCTCCTCAGTGTCCATTATGAAAACACTGGCCCAGAAATTGATGTCTCTTTTTTTTTTATCCTCACCCGAGGACATTTTTTTTCCATTTTTGTTCAGATAGAGTGGGAGGCAGAGAGGAAGAGAGAGAAAGAGAGAAACATCGATGTGAAAGAGACACATCGAGTGGCTGCCACCTGCACAACCAACCAGGGCCCAAGACAAACTGCAACCGAGGTATTTGCCCTTAACGGGAACCGAACCCAGGTCTCTCTGGACCACAGGCTGATGCTCTAACCGCTGAGCCAAACCGGCCAGGGCTTGATGTCTTTTTTTAAAAAAAATATGTTTTTATTTATTTTTTTAGAGAGAGAGAAACATTGATGCGAGAGAGAAACATCGATTGGCTGCCTCTTGCTCACCCCCTACTGGGGTTCAAGCCTGCAACCTGGGCATGTGCCTGACTGGGAATCAAACCAGAACCTCTCAGTCCATCAGATGATGCTCAAGCCACTGAGCCACACCTGCCAGACACAAATCGATGTCTTAATTGTAATAAACTGGGACACTGGAGAAGAAACTGTCCTATGCAAATTCTCCAATGCCTTCATACCTACCTTCAAAGGAGAGCCCCATGAAGCCCCTCCTAAATTTAATGGGACTCCTGAGATATTTTCTAGAAAACTGCTCCATTATTTCCTTAAACACCCAAGAGGAAAATTAAAATTAATGGGGTTGTGTAGTACTACCAGAAATATATATACAGGATGTCTGTAGATTTAATTACATTTTGAAAATGAAATGTATTTTAATAAACACTGGCTTTATAATTATTCAAAGTGTGTGTATACATTTTGGGGAGACCCTATATATACTGTTTGTTCTGGCTAAAATCCTGACAAGATATTTGAAAGGATTTAATGGCCTTTGATAAGAATTCTGGTCAAATTGGAAGCTGATATTCAGAGCCTGGTAGGAATTTTTTTTTTACACTTTCTTTCCTAAGCTAAAACTAGGAAAGAAACATTCCACAATTGGTGAATGGTTGTGGCATTCCTTTGATATTACTCAGGCTACAGTCCAGTTCTTGGGGAGCTGGAAACACCTAGTGGTTCAAAGTTCACCTGTAAAAAATGACCCCTCATTGCCAGACTTTTGCTATCCTGATGTTTTTATAATATAGTAACAATGTGTTACAAAAGTAGAGCATTAAGATGGGTAAACAATGTCTGTCAATTAAATGAACAGTCAGGGCTACGGGATACAACCTTCTGTTGATCCCTTGCTGTTCATGCTAGTATGACCAACTACTGTAGTCTTTAATGTCTTATGCTCAAGCCTATCATCAATAGGTTAAAGAAGCCTTCCCAGATTCCAGTTCAAAGGATCCTGTTCATTATAGCCTAGAGACTGGCCATGCGCCCCATTGGATGGGACCTTGCCAAGGACTCCTGACCACTGACATTGCCTCAAAAGTTGAAGACATTGAGCTGTGTATACACATCCGGCTCTACCTGACATCTGGTCCTGCAGAGACGCTGGAGACCTCCCAAATTGATGAGGAAGGAAGTAGTTGACATCAATGTTGAGCTCTTCTGCCCAAGTTGAAAGATCAAGTCTTCACGCTTCAATTAATTTGAAACAATTTCTCCTTCTTTTCCTTTCCTTCATTCTAGTATTGGCCTGAAAAGATAACACTGTCATGCATCTCCCAGACCATTGCTTGGAAGGGAGAGGGAGGCATTTCGGATCGCTGAAATTGTCATCACAGATTCCTGTCTATACGTAATTATCTAGCTCAGATCCCCACCCCACCCTGCCCCAATCACTAACAGCAGCACCCATTTTTGTAAGGCATTTAGGATGACTCTGTTTCAGGCTAGGAGATTCTCTTCCCATATGCATTAAAAACCTGACTGACCCCTGGTTTGAACAGGTAAATGCAGCAATTCCTGACAAATGAGCCTATTCACAGTGCCACCTTAGTGAAATGGTTTGTGTCCAATAGGATTTTTCTTTGTGGCAGTTATCATTCCCCAAATAGCTAGCACACAGCTGGGTAATGCCTCTTAGATTATCTAACTGTAACCCTAACCTCACAAATGAACTTCTGGGATTCCTCACTGGTCAACTTCCCTGAATTTACATTGTTGAATTAGAAAGGATTTATCAGGAGGTTTTCATGATTTAAAATTTAAAAGGACCTTTGGCAGGTCCCTACTTCCCTGGTTAGGAATAAATACAAAGGAGGATATAATAAGGAACCTCTCCTTAGCTCTTGAGAGCATTGCAAATCTGATGTTAGAGCAATAACTGCCCCCCAAATCTTTAGATTCTCTGGCCAAAGTTGTTTATGAGAATAGAATATCCTTCAAATATCTTTTAGCTGAGCAAGGCAGGGTCTGCTGGGGAAGTTTAAATACATGTTCACAGCTGCTAACTAATGATCTCCTTAGGGCTGGAGTAGCTGAGAGGAAAGAAAGTGACAGTCTTGAAAGCTGTGAACCTGAGGTCATTGCCTAGAAGAGTTCCAAGATTCAGCACAATGTCATGACCTAGGATTACCACACAAAGAATCAACAGAAGCTGCAAGAACTAGAGAGGTAGCAAACCAAGACCTAATTTCCCTATCCAACCTCTCCTAGGAATGTGAACTTTAAACAGTTAATCTGAAATTTCCTCCTTAGTATTAGTAAAATCATTTGCATAAAACCCCTATCATCCCCTCCTCCTCACCCCGCCCCCCAAAAAAGATGACTTGGCCTGAAACAATCCTTTCTTTTATTGTGTAAAAGCTCCATTACCCCACCCTCTTTCAGCCTCTAAAAACTTTCCATTTTGTTCAACTCTTCAGAGTGCCTTTCTACTTGCTAAATGGGATGCTGCCCAATTCATAAATCATCTAATAAAGTAAATTAGGTCTTCAAATGTACTCAGTTGAGTTTTGTTTTGTTTTTTAACACATTCTTATACACATGTCCTGGTACACATGTTCATAGGTGTCTCTAGGGTTTGTACATAGGGTCATGGGATATGCTTAGCTTCTGTTTTATTAGAGAAAGTCAAACTATTTTCCAAAGGGCTTGTTCCAAATTAAATATCCACCAACACATATGACAATTTCCACTGCTTTATATCTTTATCAAATCTTGGTATTGACAGACTTTAATTTTCGCCAATCTGGTGGATATGTAATGGTGTTTTATTTGTGATTTTCATTTGCATTTCTCTAATTACATGTTTTTATCAGCTTATTGACTAATTAGATTGCTTCTATTATAAAGTGCCAATTAAGTCTTTTCACAATTTTTAAATTGGATTGTCTGTCTTTTTCTTTTTGATTTATAGGAGTTCTTTATGTATTCTGATCACTAATGGGTTTTTAGTCAACAGTATGTTACAAATATCCTCCCCTCTATAGCTTATATTTTTATTCTTTTTATTGTGTCTTCTGATTAACAGAAGTTCTTCATTTTAATGCTGTCAAAAGCATCAATCTTTTCCTTTATGATTAGTGCTTTTTACAGTCCCTCCAGCCAAAGTCATAAAGATATTCTCCTCCTCTGTTATCCTCTAAAATATTTTTTTTCTTTCACATGTAAATACTATGTAGAATTTATTTTTGTGTAATAGATGTTCCAAATAGGATTTTTTTAGTATGAATACCCCATTTCCCAGCACTGTTTATTTCAAAACCCACCTTTTCTTTGCTGCTCTGATATACTACCTCTATCATAAGTCACCTGTCCATAGATGCACACATCTGCTTTGAGACTCTGTGTTTTGTCTATTTGTCTACTTACTATCTTTATACCAGTGCTACATGTCTAGGGCTCACTAAGAAGACTTAAAGTCTGGTTAAACAAGTTCTTGCACTTTGGTGTCTTGACTATTCTTGTCAAATTTCACAAATAGATTTTTTTTTTTTTTGAGTTTTAACTTCTATTACATTAAATCTATGTATCAATTCATAAAGAATGAACATCTTCACAAAATCATGTCTTCCAGCCTATGAATATGGTAGGACTCCCCAATCATTTATGTCTTCTTAAATGACTTTCAATACAGTGCTAAAATTTCCTCCTTGGTGGTCATGCTCACCTGTTTATCTTTTTTTTTTTTTTTTTAACTCATCTTTATTATTAACTGTATTACAGATGTCCCCCCTTATTTTCCCCATTAACCCCCTCCTCCGCAGTCGTGCCCCCCTCCTGCCTTTCCCACACTATTGTCGGTGTCCGTTGGTCATGCATCTTTGGTTTATCTCATCCCGCCCTCCCCCCTCCCTTCCCTTTGAGGTTCATCAGTCTAACAACCAATTTGTACTTCTTAAGTCCTTCATCTTTTTCACCCATCCCTCCAGCCCCTGCCTATCTGGCAAGCAACAAAAAGTTCTCTGTATCTATGAGTTTGTTGCTGTTCTGCTTGCTCATTTTGTTTGTAGATACAATTGTTGATAGATATGTATTAATTGCCATTTTATTGTTCATATTTTTGTTCTTCTTCTCCTTCAAGAAGACCCTTACTGGTTTGGTGGTGATGAACTCCTTAAGCTTTTTCTTGTCTGGGAAACTCTTG